AGGGAACTGTGAAGGAGACAATTGTTAAACTACCACGGGAGCATTACAGAATTGAGTTTTGACTTCATTGTCATTTGTTTTGTCAGTAAGTTGAGCTTTGTGTTTTGTGTTACAGAGTTTTACTGCACAAAATGGAGGTAGAACGACTTCGTGTTCCCAATTTTTATCACTTTCATCACTCAAAGAAAGGCATGTGGGGTAGTCCAACAATTGACGTCATACACAGCGATATTGGCGCACAATACTATAAAAACAGGAACCAAATTATTCCACTTTATCGACCAAGAAAATATATACAAATAAGACCTATTCGCTATTCAAACACTATTAAAACTAAAGACAAACAGAGAAATTTACGAGTCAAGCGAGTTCCCTCGCGAATTGTACGATATTCGTCACGAGTACGTCGTGGTTATCGACCTAAACAAAAACCACGAGGYACCGATAAAAATGGCGCCAAAATTTATTACTAATGTTTGGTCAATATTATTTATTAGTATATTGATAATATATTGATAATATATATCTGTATATATGATAGTCATATTCAATTTTTGGAACAAACATGATTAAAGTACATTTTATATATTTATTGAAGAAGTTTAAACTTGTCTGAGTCTACGTGTAATGAATTGTGCGTTAATGAGAAAAATAAGCTTTTAAACTCAGTGCGCTTTGCAATAGATGGTTATTAGAAAGTCTCCGGGAACTCAAGTTTGTATTAGAGCGCTATTCAGTAATAGTCTGTACAACCCTCCAATATTTGAATAAATCAACCGCATTCTTAACGACATTGCTAAGTGGTTTCGAGCTGAAAGGGGTTCGTGATGACAGCGTTAAAACAACGCGTGTGCCATACGTTGTCTACAGTCAAGTGCCTCTGTAATATATGTTTAATGAAACTATATCTCAACACTTGTTTTTATTATGAACCTTATTGCTTTTGGTGAGTCATTCAAATTCGTAATTATGCGATAGATTAAAAGCGCCATCTTGTTTTCCTYGTTTAAATAACTTTATTTAAAGCTCTTCGGTGTTTGATGTAAGATTTACCAGAAGGTTCCAGGCCGTGTGACAACTCTTTAATTAATACATCTAATTCAGTTGTGCTCTATATTTGACTATTATATAGTTATAATCGATATTATTTCTCTTATATCTTGCCGCACCTGATATAATTGTTTATTGTTGCAAGCTGTGTGAACGAAATGCATTTGTTCACAAAACAAGAATAAAACGGAAGCAAATGCGAAGTTGGTACGTCAAAACATCGCCATTTCCTTGATTTAGAAGTCCTTTTTCAATCTTTCTTTCCTTGTCAAAATATGATAGTTAGTAACCATCTATGTCATTAAATTGAAGTAAAACTTCAGAAGTAATGAAAAATTRCCTCCATGCAAGATGTGTGCGCAGTTTGTGCACAACTCTTCTTGGTTTTGTGATAAAATCGATGTTTTGCTCTTAATAACTCCAAGTTTTTACTGAAATTTCATAAAAAGTATATGTTATTGTTCTTTTTCTTAATATCAAAAGATTCATATCATTTCCGGATAAGTATTTATTGAGATTTGTACATTTTACCTTGCCTTCGCTACCGTATTTCCAATTTTTCTTGTTTTTACTTTGAATTCCTGTTAATTGCTTCTTGGGTAATTATTAAATATGGAGGATGAATTCTTTATTCACTATGCTATCCTTTTTTAAAAGACGTTGTACTTAAACACACGACTTATCAAGTAACTTAAAGCAACCTTTTTATTAATTTCAAAAACATATCTCGATGCTTAATAACTCGGGCCACCTGTGTTTTGCCTAATTAATCTCTGTCCAGGTCGGCAACTGTCATATACCTTCTGTCGTATTTGCCTTAAGTGTTACTTATTATGAAGTCGAGCAGTTATAAAAAAAAACAGCTTGGGCAAAAGAAAACCGCTCCTTGTATAACACTGATATGCGTAAAGCTACAACATTTCCTAAAGAAAGATCAAGTGTTTTCGTGCCGCGTCAGTATCCGGTATTAAAAGTTTTCTTTTATTTAAAGAGTTAAAAAGCGACTTCTTCATTACTGGAACATCTATGAAAACAATGCGTAGGTAAAACAACCAAACCAACAAAGAATTATTTTCTATACTGGTTTCAGTGTTGAAAAAGTGATGAAGAGAGGCGTGGGTCCTGGAGAATCTGGTTTCTCCCCCTGAGGAGGGAAAGTCAAAAGTTCTTGCTCTCAAGAGCAAACAAGTTT